GTGTAAAACCTACAGTTTTACACCATTTTACAGCCTTTTAGTGACCCAGTCAGGTTTTCTTTTCACCCTGTGGACGGTGCTATAGGTTTTAAAAATAGTGGTCTTGTGGTTGATGGTGAACCCTGATTCATTTAAACCTAACAGAGTTAAAGATGTTAAAATGTGGTGAAAGAGTTAGTCTGTTGTGTGACAGGCTGTGAATTGGTGTCACCAACTCTTACAGCCTCACAAGTTGGGTTTTCTGAACGGTAAAAGACCTGTTTTTAGCTGTCGGGTGGTCTCAAATTTGATTCTAAAATACTTTCTTGTCCAGAAAAGGTCAAGCTGGATTGGGCTATATTGATATAAAAATGTATCATGGTTAATTGTGGCATTTTTCTGATGATTAATAGAAAGATTAATAGGTGTAAGTTGCACTTGCAAATGGCCAACGCCTTGGTCCACATTTTCTGTCCTTCTTTGTACTCCAGWTTATGCCTGTGATTAAACAAGATCGTAGGGTTAACTGCTCCACACTACCTTCCTCCATTGGCCTCACATGTAGGTCTGATGTTACTGTGTCGTACACAAAAATACGCCATCAATTGGTGCATTGCAGTAACTGCAAAGCGGTAACATTAGTTGTTGATAGATTTACTGATAATTAATTGCACATGATTTTGTCCAACCCTAGTTAAAAGCAGAGGTGTAAAGTAGCTTAAGTACAAATACTTTGTTACGGTACTTAAGTAGAATTCTTGGGTATTTGTACTTTACTTGAGTAATTAATTTTCAGCCTACTTTTTACTTCTACTTCTTACATTTTCACACAATTATCTGTACTTTCTACTCGTTGCATTTTTTTAAAAGGCAAGAAGTAGAAAGTCGTTACTTTTATTTAATTTTTGCTTGTTTTCATTCCAGCTTGTTATTTTAAAAAAATAAATACTATCCATATAAATTGTGCCTCCTAGATAGAGTGAGTTTAATTGTGGTTGAATGAGAAGTCTAAATATATGAAACTCTGATACCGTATTAGTTTGTACACAAACAAATGAGGTCACACTCCAGCAGGACATAATCATTAAAAGAAAAGTACTGTACTTAAGAAGTATTTGTATTTCATGAATTAAATTATTGCATTTGGCCCGCAGCCCTCAGATAGATTTTTATTTTAGAGAAAAGTTTTGTGCAGCCTTGATATATTTATATAAACTGAAACAGCTAGATTAATGAATCTTAAATTTAACATAAATTAATTACTTTATTACAATATAGTTATTTCTGCATTGTTTTGGGGAGGTCACCTCCTAATAAATGTCATTACAGAAAATCTAACTGCTCATTTTAAATCAATACTTTTACTTTTAATACTTAAGTACAAAAAATATCAGATACTTTGACTTTTACTCTCAAGTAAGGAGAATTTAACTTATTTTTTGGTAAGATACTTGTACTTTTACTCAAGTATCACTTTGTCGTACTTTATACAACACTGGTTGAAAGTCGACTTTGACTTTAGTCACAATATGCTGAAAACATGCCCCAGTCATGAGTCTAGGAACGTGCTTGACTGTATGAGGTGAATGAACGTCTTACTTTACCTTGATCTTGGTGCCGCACATTGTTCATAACATTTGCCATGTTTTTATTTTATTAGGTTTCCTCCTGGTAATCCAATCAAACATGCCATATTTCGTCAGTCTTCTCTAACTATACTGTCATGAACTCGTATTTGACCGGTCCGTCTACATACGGATCTACACCCAGGGTTGGGCATCGTTTGAATTTGAACGATTTCGGTTCCTCATTTGGATTCTGTTTCCCAATGATTCCCAACTTCGATTCTTTTTAGAGGCAGGGTCAAAACAGTTCGCATGGTTTAAATGAGGAGCTAACCAGAGTTCTTTCTAGATGAACACACAGGGGTACTCTGTACTTGTCCATCTAACCAAACCGTACACTTTGATCCATCCAAAGAGTATTTTTGATCTAGTTTTGAGACAATATACTAAGTGAGAGCAGAATGTTTGATTATTAATCTTGTTAGCCTTATTTCAAGGCAAATTATTTCTCTTAATTTGACCATTTGAGTGTGAACACCAACTCAAATTGGTGTTCGGCAGCTCACCTGGGTTTTTTTCTTCGTTGGTGTTCGGCGGCTGCTTCTTCCAGTTGGCGGACTGGGTATTGAAACTGGGCATTGTAATTTAAAAGTACAAATGATTTCATGGGAATTGAAACATTAGTCCTGGATACTTGATGCCCGACCCTACCCACACCTATGATCTGTGAGCTGTAATCAAACAGTAGATTTAAAAACTTTTAATAAAACTGACCTCGTTGTTCAGCTCCAGCGCTTGTGTTTATTTGACAGTCTGTCTGTGATGACGCCGTCTCGCAGTTACGTTGTGATGAAGTGCTGTAATCTTCAGTTCTGTCTTTTTTTTTCTGTCTCCACTTCAGCTTCACCTGCTTCTCCTTTTTAGCTGCTGATTTCTCAGGATGATTTCTGACAGCCCGCAGGGAGGAGGCAGCTTTGTTTACCTACTTCCCTCCAGCTGGGGATGAATGGTGCAGTGATGGCTTAAGAGTTTTCCAAGARTATATATGAAAAGTCGCAGCTCTCAGGGCGCAGCCTGTCTCGCGGCTGATGTACATGCCGCTGTTCTTCAGCTCTTGACTGTTATACACACGAATATTTATAGGAATGTGGAAGAGAAACCCCTGAACTCCACTTGCGAGGTACTTTAAGGGAGAGTTTTAATCAAATGYATGCCATGAATTCAATAAGAAAACAAGCAGGCAGAGGAATAAGTCATCTATGAACCGAAGACAGCAATTTCATCTGAGGCTGACCCTTCCTGAAGCAGTGTACTTCAGATTCTCACATCTCCAGGTCTTGGTGGTACATTTAACAAAAAATCTTTCTATCCTAACAAGTTAAACCTGCTGCCACCGATTATTTTTGCTCAAGCTAACTTGTTAAAATCTGCTGTCAGATAACTGCACAATTAGAAGCATTTCTTTCCAGAGATTTCTTTACTCAGTTTATTTTTTATTTTTGCACCCATCACAAAATAAAAAGTAGAACATATTTAACAAAGTGACAGGTGAAATGAAATTCTATTGTTACAATGTTGATTTGTTTAGCTTTTCTCTCTGTGCATCATCCGTTTTCTCCACAGATCTTCACATTTTAGTTTTTGTAGTCTTAAAGTATGATTAAATCTCTCCATATTATGAATTTTATCTATTAAGTGCTTGGAGAGAGCGAGTTTTGTCCATTTTTATACCATTTCTGTATAATGGCCTTCTTGGATATAAAAATACTTGGCAGAAAAAGTAAGGAAACATGTGTTTGGTAGATTATTTCTATTGTTGTAAAAATGCTTCTTGACAATAAATCTCATACCAGGCAGCACCTGGAGGAACCAGAAACTCAAAACAAGTGTCAACAACAGCAAAATAACCTATTGGGCAATGGCAACCTACATTTTCAATTCTACTGCTCATCCCACAAATGCATGTTCCTTACAAATGTGGCACCATTTAAAAGGAAAATTAAGACTTTCCAACAGTTTATGATTTATTACCAAGAAGCAAGAAATAATCTAGTTATTTTTAACTTATCGTTTGATGTTCTACATCCTCGTATCAGAGTTTTGAACTAAAACTATTGTCTGTTCAAACATTGCTGGTTCTGTTAGCCCAAGTCAAGTTATGTGTTGAGAAAGACTTTTAGCTACGTCCACACCAGTTTATGGCCCAATGTTTATTGATTTGGCTGAGTTGCAAATATTTTTGTCTGGTCAGTTGGCTGCTGTGGCCATCTTGAATCGAGCTGACTCCAAAAATTATTGAGTTGTCAGTAAATCCATCCATCTGCTGCTGCAGAAACAGAGTTCATCTTGAAGTTGTGGTTGGATAACCAGTAATTACTTGAGTTTTGCTGAAATATTAATCAGTTACAGATGCTCATCCAGTAGTTGATTTCTCCAAGTTTTTTTTAAATCCAATCAGTGATTCATGAAATATTTTGCTAACAGTACAGCATGCTGTCACCTTCAGCAGCACATCTCTGAAATCAGTTCCAACTTCATGTTCAGCAAATAACACTTCTTGGTTCTGAACACCAGATGTAGAATTTTATGCATAAATAAATAAGGATAAAAGAAGCTAAAGAGACGAGTCATTCCGTCAGTCCTCTGCAGAGCCGAGTGGACCTGCTGAGAGCGCTTCATCAATCAGTCGGGTCCACGTGTGAACGGCTGGACATAATCCGGTCTGAGCGTTAAGATAATGTCTGATTCGATGAGTCAAAAAGCACGATGACTAACAGTAACGTAGCTGAAGAGACAGAACAACTGGTCCGAATAAAGGAAATGATAAAAGCAGAAAGCAGGTCGCTGGAGTTTGATGATTCACCTGTTGATGCAACATTTTACTAATTCATACCGTCGGCGTCATGCTACTTTACTACGGTTTGTGAACAAAGCTACCCTCCTATTTATCTTATTTCTTTACCTTTTTAAACACTTCTTTTAGTAAGTAAACTTTATTTATATAGCGCCTTTTGCAGAAATCACAAAATGCTTCACAAGGAGCAAAAATAAAAACACAAACATACAGTCGAAGCATTAAAGCGAACAATAAACACTAATGTGACTAAAAAAAACAAACACATTCAGATAAAAGCTTATGTGAACAGCAGTGTGAGTTGTGGTTTAAAGCTCTTATAAAATCTGCTGTAACTGTAGAGTTCCTCCTTCAGGGGTCCTAATAAAGAAACATTCAGGTTATTTATTGAACAATATTAATAAAGTTTTCCACCAACATTTATGTCTGTCCACAACTTTCAGTCATAAAGTAGGCCGAAAACCTGAAGAAAAATGACATTTCCATCCATCCATCCATCCATCCATCCATCCATCCATCCATCCATCATCTTCCACTTATTCAGGGTCAGGTCGCAGTAATTTCATAGTGTAAGTACAATTTGTGTAATATATAATTTAATTAAGATAATTTGATTATACAATGTTCTCAGTCAGGTTATCCTCCTTTTGTTTATGATGGCAGGTTCATATAAAAGTAGAGATCAGTCAAAACTCGAGCATAAATCTGTGAGAGTCTGATGGAGCTTCATGATGACATCATCAAGGTGTGTTTTCAGGTGGAGCTCTTCATCTCTCAGCTCGAGTGTGACTTTTCACTTTTCTGAGCCCTGACCACCAGCTGTGACTCAGAGGTAAAGAGCATCACAACACACACACACACACACACACACACACACACACACACACACACACAC